TGGTATGTGCCTATAATCCCAGTACCTGGGAAGCTGAGGCAGGAGGATCACAGGGAGTTTGAGGCTACTCTGGGCTATATATTGAGTTCCAGGTGAGTACAAACTACATGGAAAGACCCTGTCTCAAAAATGAACGAATGGGGGCGGGAGAGATGGCTCAGCGGTTAAGAACACTGGCTGTTCTTGCAGAAGACCCAGGTTCAAATCCGAGCACCCACATGGCAGCTAACAACTGTCCGTAACTAGAGTTCCAGGGGATCCAACAGCTTCTTCTGTCCTCCATGGGCACTGAATGACATGGGTGCACTTACATACATGCAGGCAATACACGCATACACATAAAATAAAAATAATAAATAAAATACTAAAAATGAACAAATAAGCCAGGCGTGGTGGCGCACGCCTTTAATCCCCACACTCGGGAGGCAGAGGCAGGCAGATCTCTGTGAGTTCAAGGTCAGCCTGGTCTACATAGTGAGTTCCAGGCCAGCTGGGGCTACAAGGTCTCAAAAAGAGCAAAAAAAAAACAAAAAACAAAAAACCGAATAAATATATAGCAAGACTAAATGACACAAGATGACAGTTCTATGTCAAATTTGGGTTCACGTCTCAGAAAACTAAATAGGAGAAACCCTTTATAAGACATTTCTAGCTGGGTGTAGTGTCAATACTCTGGAGGCTCAAGCCTCAAGCAGGAATGTTAGAGATCAAGGCCAGTCTGGACTACAGGGACATTTATAAGCTGCTCTTGGTAGTACAGGCCTATAATCCCAGATACTTGGGAGATTGTGGCAGGAGAATTGCAAGCTCAAGTCTACAAGTCTGGTCTGAGCTGCAGAGTACATTCACGACCAGGCTTAGTAAGATTCTACTTCAAAAAAAACAAAAAGGTTAAGGATATATATAGCTCAGTGGTACAGCACTTGCATTAGGTTCAACTCCCAGTATTACATACATGCACACGTGCATGCAAAGGTGTTTCCAAAACTACTTTCGCTCCAACGTTTCATAAGTTTGACTCTTTTTTTTGAGACATGGTGTCATGTAGACCATGTTATTTTTGAACTCCTGATCCTCCTGACAGCACCTCCCAAGTGCTAAGATTATAGGCATGTACCACCACACCTAGAAAATTTATTGACTCTTAATAACAGCCTTTCTGAGTCAGGTCTACTTTCCTAGGCACTCTTAAAATGCAGTGGATTGTCAGAATCACCTGGGGCAGTAATCCACCAGGATATCATGGGATCGTGGACTTTTACCCAAGAGCTCTATATTTTACTGTGTGTCCTAAATGTTTCTTGTTTGGTACCAGTGTTGGAAAAAAAAATCTATAGAAGCCCAGTGAGGTGGCACAATCCTAATAGTCACAGATATTCACAAGGATCGTTTGAGCCCAGGATTTCAAGGTCAGCTTAGACAACAGAGCAACACCCCATCTCAAAACAAATAGAACACCCTGTATGAGCTGGGTATGGGGGTGCACATCAGTCAACTCAGTACTTAGGAGGCTGAAACAGCAAGATCACAAGTTGAAAGCCAGCATGGAATACAAAGGGAAACCCTGTCTCAAGACAAAATAAAACCCATCCTCACAGGCGAGGAAGATGGCTCTCTTAGTAAACTGTGGTACAAGCACCAAGACTCAAGTTCAATTCCCCAGAACCCATGCAAAAAAGCCAGGTGTGAAATGCGCTTTCCAGTGCTGGGGAGCTAGAGACAGGAGGCTCCCTTAGGCTTGCTTGCCAGTCAGTATAGCTGAGTCTGTGAGTCCCAGGTTCATAGAGACCCTGTCTCAAAAAATAAGACGGAGAACAATTGAGGAAGATATCTGGTGTTGGCCTCTGGTCTCCATTTCCACATGCATATACATACATATACACAAAAAAACCCACCCTCACATCTAACCATGGTATTCATCAATCATAGTATTCATCTGGCAATCACCTATAAACTGTGTGGTCTTCCTTGTGAGACCACGCATACCAAGATAGCACATAAAGGAGACGTACAATCATATCTCATTCATTCATCAATGCATTCCTAGCTCATGACAGGCATCAAATACACATGTACTGAAAAGAAACCACTCCTTTGCTGTACTGTTTCCTTTGCTCAGAAGTGCTCAGCTCCATTCCAGATCAGTTCTCTCCCGGAGGCATGCCTAGGGTGTGTGGGAAGGGTGGGAGTAGGTAACTCACCGTCTTTCATACTCCATATCCTGATAGGATCCTCGGGAGCTGCTGGGGCCCCTCCTCAGTTGCTGGCTTCGTTTCACTTCCCAGCCACTCCCACTGCTGCCACCATGATCTGCCAGCCTGGGTGACGCCTCTTGCAGAGACTCTGCAGAAAATGGAAGGAAGAAAGGGGTCAAGGCAGTTAGAGCAGAGAGGGCCTCCTTGAGAGGCTGTCATTGTCAAGGCCTTCTGCTGTCCTGTAGCCCTGGGACATTGTTTTACACTTCCTAGTGCTCCTGTGCATCAATGCAGGAAGGCTGCCCCTACTTAGTCTACTCCTTCCTTTTCTCAGAAGCATGAGGCAAGACATCAGTGCCCTAAAAAACAGTAAAGCCTTTATCAGACAAAGAGCATCTTACAGAGACTTGGTGGGACTACCAGTTAAGTGAGCAGGGCTTTGCAATCTGAGACTGGTAGACAAATGTAAGCCTTGTGGCTGCTTGGTGGGATGGGAGGCCAAGAGCTGAATGATTTGCCTGGATTAGGCACATTAGGCACAGAGAGATTTCACAATTGGATTGGGATACAACTCAGGAGTAGAACACTTGCCCTGCATGTGCAATGCCTTGGGGTCTCATCCCCAGCATCACAAAAACAACTACTAAAAACCCAAATACAAAACAACAATAGCAAAACATGTCACAATGGGATTCCTAGGTTCCTTCCCATGGGTCAAGGTATCATTTCATCCTCCCAGCAAGAAGCTGGCTGTACTCTCTCAAGGAGCCAGAAATCTTTAAAGGCTCTTGGAGTGTGTGTGTGTGAAGGGACTAACTTGGCAACAAGACTTTTGCCACCTTCCTGGGCTCCTGGCCAACACTGCTCTGGTCTTCACACAGTAAGTGGCTCAGCCCTGATGTGCAGCCAGGTCCCCAGGTAGATCTCTCCCCAAGGGCTCTGAGGCTAAGTTTTCCAGAGGAAAAAGGTGCCTCTTTCCCAGGTGGTTCCAAAACATCTACTTCTATTGAAACAAAGAAGCAGCCACTTCATCCAACTTTCAGGGCTGCCACCAGAACTGGGAGTCCTGAGAGTGATATGACCCAATCAGGGATCAGAATGATCCCTGAATCTTGGGGCCCCACCCACTGTTCAGAAACCAAGTAAAGCTGGGTGGTTACTGCACCTGCTCAATGCTGGGTTGCCACCACACCTTTCCAGCAAATACACACACACCTATTTTCTCTTCCTCCTCAAACCACGGGGAACCAGCTAACTGCTCCCTAAAAGGGTAAATGAATCACAACCAGGAGCCCCAGTGGCTGAGAAACTGACACAAAATCCTCAATAGCAAAAGGGAAAGTCAAACGTTGTCATACATACAGAAGAGATAAAAACCAAAGTTACAGGCAAACCCCCAAATAACTAAGGGTCAAGATCACAGACGGAAACCCACAATAAGGGATGTAATCTAGCAGAGCCTCCTTTTAACACATGGTTGTCAGTGTCACAGCTACAAAGGCCCAAAAGAAGGAAAGTCCTATACATATTCGATCCGCGAAACGTTAGGGTCAGCAACAAGACAGCCTCCTGACGGGTAAGAACCAGAGGTCAAATACAGACACAAGTGATAAAGACCAGAGTCACTTTCTCAGTGCTCCTAGCCGCCCAGCACACTTAAATGAACAGGGGCCATGGCCACAGAGCACGTCCCCATGGATAGATAAGTGCTGAAGTAACACGGGGCAGTTAGCATACCCCTCCTCTAAGAACAACAACAAAAACCCTGAAGTCACAAACACGGACGTTCCAAAAGATAAAGTTCGATGGCGCAAACACAGTAAGCCACAGTACCCCACTCCCATCTGTCCCTCCCTTCCCCCAACCCTCGTGTACCCATCCCGTGTCCCAATCGCGCACGCGCTTTTGCTTTCACAAGAAAAGGGGGGGGACACCCCCTCCCAGGTGCAGGCTGTGCATGCATCTCTCCGATCCGCACGAACCAGGAGTGTGCAGTCCGTAGCCGTGCCTCTGCTATGCACATCACCCCCAGCCCGGGTCCCTTACCTCCACCCCCGCGACTAGCGTTGGCGCTCACCTTCTCGGCCCGGGCTGTCAAGGGAGAGCTCCCAGGCATCACCTCGGCCCGCAGCCACCTCCTCCAAAACTCCCTCTTCAGCCGAGGCTGACGAGTGCAACAATCCAGTCCCAGGCTGGAAGCAGAGGAGAGGAAAAGGGGAGGGGAAAAGCGCCCGGCGCGTTGCCCTCCCAAGGAAACTCAGTGCCGCCTCCCCCCAATCGGCCGCAGTCACCAGCACAAAATGGCGACGAAGAGAAGGAAGCCGGCGCTCCGACCACCATCCACCTACTAAGGGAGCGCGCTCGGCCGGCCCTGTCTATTGGCCGCCGCCTGCCAGGGGCCGGCCCTGGCCTTCCCTGATTGGCAAGTATTTGACACCTCCCTGTTCTCCGTGAGAACGCCCCACGAGTCCAGAAAAGAGTAGCTATTGGCTATTCCTGTGAGGCCCGCTTTTTAGAACCTTACTTTCCTTTGAAGTTGAAAGACAAGCGGAAGCTCCGCCTCTTTCCTCGCAGGGCCACCCAGATGTCATCGCTTTCTTATCAAGGAAATGAGCAGACCTCGGAAGACCAACTTTCTCTCCACTTGATCTAGTGGATATAAATGATCAGTCTTATGGGGACATGATGTGGGAGGGAAAAGGGTCTCCTCAAAGCCCCACCTCTCTTGAAAACAAACTTGGACCAGAAATCTGTTTAGTGAGGTGAGGGCGGAGCGACAAAGATCGCACTGGGATCCACTGCAGCTGCGCGCTGTGACATTTCCGTCCCCGCCCCCAAGAGTCTACCGCTCAGTCTGTCATGGCGGCCGGACTGCTAAGTTTGTGTGCTTGCCGCCTCTCGGCGACAGCGGCGGTGCGAGGGCTACCCGCTGCCCGCGTTCGCTGGGAATCGAGCTCCTCTAGGGCCGTGGTCGCCCCGTCCGCCATGGCAGGAAAGCGGCGGGTAGAACCGACTATGCATTGGCAGGAGGACCCAGAACCCGAGGACGAAAACGTCTATGAGAAGGTGAAAGGGAGGGGAAACGGGACGCTGCAGGGGTCAGTCCTGGACCGGCGGACGGGGCGTCGTATAGGACGTTCCCAGAAGGTGGAAGATTGTGAGCCGGAAAAAATCTTCCACGCTTGTTTTCCTCCTTTTTGTTTTTGCCCTAATATTTTCGGTTCAGGACCAGAAGCGACATTAGCTTTATTTGTAGACGGAAATCACGCCTGAAGTGGGCAGCGCTCAAAACGCGTTAGAAGCATCGTAATCACAATGATACTAAACACTGAGGTGGCACTGCTCGGTGCCAATCCGTGCTAAACATTTTTTTATATAGTGACTCATCTAAGTCCTAAAAATGGCCTGATTTTGAGGTAGTCACTACTGTTGCCACTATACAGGTGAGGAGACTGAAACACAAAGTTACTTGCCCAGGTACACATAACAAAATACCTGATGGAACTGGAATTTTGAATTTAGGATTAATATGTCTTCTGTGCTTTATGAATAGCAGAGACTCTGGAGATAGACAACCTGGGTTGGAAATTACCTGTATGACCTTGGGCAAGTAGTTTAACCTCTCGGTGCCTCAGTTTCTTTATAAAGTGAGGAAACTAATAAGACACGTAAAAATACACCTCTTTTTAAATAAGTCAGAATAGTGAGAAAGCAGCTGACACTTCGAAAGTATCCAGCATTAGAAGGTATTTATTATTGCCATTTTCCACCTTCCTGGGATATTTTGAGGTTTGGGTATTTGAAAAGGCCTGATATATACTAATTACTTCATCAGCACTAACCTCTGGTTGAGCGGCTTTATTGTAGGGTTGTATAGGATAAGTGGAGCCATAGGAAATTGCCAGTATTCAACCATTTTAACCTCTATAAGTAGTGCTTTCCTGTGATACAATTTAATAGGCAACAAAGTCAACAAATGAAGCCAATTTTTCAGTTGGAAATAAAACCAAAACCTTGAATGAGGAGATGGGTGGGAATTAGACATGGTGGGAAGGAACTTTGCAGATGCTAAGAATAGGAAGAGGATTATTAGTATGGGAGAAGATATTGACTTGAGGAGAGATTGGAGACTACATTATGCAGGGCCATTACATGGCTTCATGGAGCAGAAGGAAACCTCATTGACCTCTCCTTCTCAGAACCCAGACTTTCATGGATATGACAGGGACCCTGTGGTGGATGTCTGGAATATGCGAGCCGTCTTCTTCTTTGGCTTTTCCATTGTCCTGATCTTTGGCACCACCTTTGTGGCTTATCTGCCCGACTACAGGTATGGAGGTTTTCCAAGAGAGTGGGTAGGGCAGAGGTGGGGGTAGAAGTTGAAGGGAGTCTCTGACCAGAATCCTTTCCCTGCACTGTTGGGGAACAAGGTATTGAGGTGGGGAACTGGTATCCAATGTGGCTCCCTCACATCAAACCCCACCTGTTGCTGCTTCTAGGTTGCGTGAGTGGGCCCGCCGTGAGGCTGAGAGACTTGTGAAGTACCGAGAAGCCAACGGCCTCCCCATCATGGAATCCAACTGTTTTGACCCTAGCAAGATCCAGCTACCAGAAGATGACTGATGAATTACTGAGTGGGGCTCAGTAATGGAGAAGCACCACCTTCTCCACCCTCTGCCTGTCATTCAGCCCATTCCTCAGAGTACCTTATTAAAGGATTGAGCATTTAACTGGCTGATGTTGCTTTTGTTGTAAAGAGAGTATAGGGGAAAGAGTGTCACAAGCCTTAAAAGAGACACTGCAGCCTTCCTTGGGTGTCCTGGTGGTCTGTTGCTATATAACACACATTATAAAGTTTAGTGGCTTCCCAGGACGCTGTGAGTTGCATGGCCAGGGTTAGGTGGCTCTTCTTGGATCTCAGGTGGTTGCAGTTAGATAGTAGCTTGGGCTAGACACATCTGAAGTACATCTGTGCTGTACAGCCAAGAAGGTTTCTTCACACAGTGTGTCTGGCACTTCAGTTGTCAGCACAATAACCTGGGCTTCTTAGAGGGTGGCTTGGAGCTCCTCTGGATGGAGATGTAGCATATAGGAAGAAATTGATAGCAATCCATGCAAACAAGCTACCACTCTGCAACCTTGCTGCATTTGAAGATGTGCTGGGACAACCAAAGACAGGGTGGTGGGTGAGAGCAGGGTTTTTCAGTTGAGGATAAGTGTTTGGCTCCCTACCCCCTCACACAAATTAGAATGCATATATAATAACAGTGGACACTATTATCTACTATATCTTCCTTGTCTTTAGCAATGAAGAGATATTTCACCTTCTAGTTCTAGCAGAAAAAAGGGACTGCAAGACAAGTTCCCAGGGGACAATCTGTCAGGCTGTTCCTAAGCATTTGTACTTGTCACATGATCTACTCTAGTGATTTAATGGGGGAATGAATAGCGAAGAGTGAATATGGTCAAAGTACATAACATATTTGAAAGAAATTGGCTATATAAAATTCAATACTATGTACAGTGAATATATATTAATAAGAGTAAAAATGTCTAAACAAAAAAGTGTTACATACATTTTCATTATGGGAAATAAAATGTTTCTCTTGGTCTGGTGCTCAAAGTGCAATTTTTCCAATAAAAAGTTTTTTTCAAGACAAGTTCTTACTATGTAGCCCAGGCTGTCCTTCAGTCTGTGGTCTTCCTGCCTCAACCTCCCCAGAACTGGGACACAAGTATGTGAAACTATCCTGGCTCAATAAAATTATTTAATCAAGGAAATTTAATGCATATAAAGAAAAATGTGTGCTAAGCTCATTTACTTTTTTGCAAATTAGCCACAACTATGTGGCCAGCTATCACATCCAGAAACAGAACATGGAGCTGACTTGTTTTCTTCTATTTATTATTATTGTGTACATGCGTGTGTGTGTGTTTGTGTGTGTGTGTGTGTGTGTGTGTGTGTGCATGGCAAACACATGGAGGCCAGAGTACAATTTTGTGGAATTGCTTTTCTCTTTCCACCATGGGCTCTGGGAATTGAGCTCAGGTCATTAGGCTGCGCTTTTACCTGCTGAGCCATCTTGCCTGCCCACTCTACTGACTTCTAAAATATACAATTCTTTTTCCTGGTTTTGAATTTCTTATAAGTGGGACCACTGTTTGTCTCCAGCTTCTTTCAGTCAATGCAATGCTTGTGAGACTGATCATGTTGTTGCATACATTAGTTTTCTCATCCTCATTGCTACATTGTGTTTCACTGTAGAAACAGATCACACTTTACCCATTCAAATGTTGCTGTCCATTTGAATAAATTTGTATATGTGATTGTTAAGAATTAATTCTGTGCTGATGGAGCCAAAGGCCTCTCATATGCTAGACAGGTATCCCTGGGCCTCCACAAACGTTCTTTTTATTTTCTATTCCAAAAGGCCTTTGTTTTATCTTGTCATTGGTGTCAGGTTGCCTCATTCTTAGTGCAGGTGACCCTCCATCCCAGGAAATAAGAATTAGGGATGGGAGTCTTTAATGATATTATGGCCTCTATAAAGCCTCAGAAAAACCTCACACAATTCTGAGATCTGATAGGAATCCTGCAAAGATCAGGGTTGGTCAGAGGCAGTGGCAAGAGAGATTGTTCACCAGTCAGGAGGCTGGGAGCTATAAAACCCCATCCTTGGATCAGCTCAGCTTTAGGGCTCCCATGTATACAATGGAGAAGGGGGAATTGAGATTTTTCCCTTCTGTCCACGTGTCTCCTGGCCAGGCATGGCTCAATTACACTAAGGGCTCAACTGAGAAAGGAGTAGCAGAAAACTGTTGTGGGCTGGTTACTTCACACGGTGCTGGTGCTTTGGCCTCTGCTGGAGCCTGGCACCGTGGGCAAATTGTTCCATCAGGCCCCAGTGTCAAATGAGGGACAAGGAGGCTGCTGCCTGAAGCCCCACTGTGCTGCTGTACACAGCCTAGGAGGCAGAATACACCTCCTGCAGTTGCATCTACAAGCCATTTAGGGCTGCAAGCCCAGGCTTGGGGATCTCAAGGAGACAGTTGCCCACCCTGGAAAATCTTTCAAAATGGTTTGAGGGTGAGGAACTCGAAGACTTGGCTTCAGCCAGCCTTTGGTGGGAAAGCAGGTGGTCTCAGAGGGCTGTGGCTGGCTCTAGAGCATAAATCTGTGGGGAGGATGAGTGGCTATTTCTAGAAACTGCCTGAGTCAGTGCTCCTGCAAAGACAAACTCCTCAGCCTAATTGGAGAAATTCCTTGTGGCTCCTGGGGCTCTCTCTATAACCAGCAGGAAGTTCTGCCCAGGCTGGTGATGTTGCCGTGGTCCCTTCATCTCAACATACAGATTTTTTCCACAGTGAAGCCTGCATCCTAAGCTAACAAACTCTTCCTCCTCTGGGTTTTCACAGCATAAAACTCCTTGGAACTGATATGATTAAAAATTGAAACAAGGGGCTGGAGAGATGGCTCAGTGGTTAAGAAGACTTGCTGTTCTTCCAGAGGACATGGGTTTGATTCCCAGCACCCACATGGTGGCTAACAGCTGTCTGTAACTCTAGTTACAGGGGGATCCAAAACCCTCTTCTGGCGTCTGTGGGGCATTGCACGCATGCAAAACACTCATAAAAGTAATCAATAAAATATTAAAAATTGAAGCAAAAGAAGAAAATATCCTATTTTTCTGAGACAATCTACCAGCATGTGCCCAAAAAGGAACCTGTCACAGGCCACAGTCAAGTAGAGGATCTCAATAGGCTTCAGAGTTATGTGAAGGAGCCCACAAGGAAAGGTGTAAAAGACAGATGAAGAAAGGTTCTGATCTCAGCCTGAGATACAATGTAACAGTAGCCCGGTGCTATCATCTCTGTTAATTTTGGAACACTGCAGTTTCAGGTCCTTTTATGCTTGTTGTACTTGGTTCCAACTCTGATACTTGCTCCAGTCAGTGGGGAGAGAGGAGAGAGAGAGAGAGAGAGAGAGAGAGAGAGAGAGAGAGAGAGAGATGCTCAGTGGGGTGTTGACGTAGTCCTGCTTCAAGTCAAGTCATGTAATCCTGATTCTTACACACACACACATTTTAAGGTTTATTTATTTATTTATTTTTATTTTTATGTGTTTCAGTGTTTACCTACATGTAGGTAAGAACACCACATGTGTGCCTGGTGCTGGTGGAAGCCAGAAGGCAGTGGAGTTACAGTTGTTTATGAGCTGCCGTGTGGGTGCTGGGAACTGAACTCGGGTCCTCTGCAAGAGCAGCCAGTGATTTTAACTGCTGAGCCATCTCGCTTGGAGGTTATATTCATGCCAAATTTCACCTTCTTGTTCTCTACCATCATGTCAGAGATGTTCTTGACTGACAAGTACTGAAGCAGCCTGTTCTAGTTTGTTTCTCCATTGCTGCGACAAAACACTCTGACCATTACCAACTTGGAGAGAAGAAAGGCTTTTTTTGTCTTACATCTCATGGGTCACAGTTCATCAAGGAGCCCAAGGTAGGAACTCAGGACAGGAACTTGGAAGCAGGCGCTGGAGTACAGGCCATGGAGGAACACTGCTTACTGGCTTGCTCCCCTGACCCCTGCACAGCCTGCTTTCTTATACAATATAGGCCCACCTGCCCAGGGGTGGCACCACTCACAGTGGGCTGGGTCCTCCCACATCATTCAATAATCAAGAAGATGCCCCACAGACATGGTCACAAGCCAGCCCAATGGAGACAATTCCCCAGTTGAGGCTCCCTCAACCCAGGTGTGTCAAGACTAAAGCTATCCAGTACACAGCCTAATGTCGTAGCCTCTCATCTTAACAAAAAGGAGTGTGTCACTACTTTGAAAAGCACAGTCCTCCTCCACGACATCCTCCACATGTGCCCAGGGATCATCTATTCCCCCTGAGAAAAAAAGTCACTATATCCAGAGTGTCTGTACAACTCTTCCCATTGGGCCTGCAGAGCCAGCCTTCAAATGTGCTTGCTTTGAACAGGATCACTGGGCAGGCAAACCATCCTCTCCATCTGGCCATCTTGCTGCAGTTGATGAGATCTTTCAGCTTACTCACCTGCATGTTGCTCTGCTTTTGTTTTTGTTTTGCTGTTTGGTTTTGTTGTTGTTGTTGTTGTTGTTGCTGCTGTTTTTTGAGGCATAGTCTCACTATGTTGTCCTGAAACTCACTATATAGATCAGGCTGACCTCAAACTCACAGAGACCCACCTGCCTGTGCACCACCATGCTCAACCTTCTGCATGTTGCTCTGAAACCTAACACACAGGCAGGAGAGGCAGGTCAGTATCTATGAGCATTCTTATATACATCTCTTTTATTACTCTTTCTCTTTTTTTGTTTTTTTGAGACAGGGTCTCTCTGTAGCCCCAGCTGCCTGGGACTTGGTATGTAGACTGGACTGGCCTCCATCTCACAGAGATCTGTCTGCCTCTGCCTTCCAAGTGTTGGAACTAAAGGCGTGCACAACCATGCCTGGAAATCTTTAATTTTTTTTATGAGTCAGGGTCTCATTGTAACCCAGTCTGGACTTGACCTCACTATATAGTTGAGAATGACCTTGAACTCCTTGTCCTCTTGCTTCTACCTCCTAAGTGCTGGGATTAAAGGTGTATACACATCTTTAAAAAAAAGATTTTGTGTGTCATGGAGATGGCTCAACAGGTAAAGACACTTCTTGCCAAGCCTGACAACCTGAGTTTGAGCCCTGGGACCTACTCAACTC